CCTCGCTAACCCTAGTCTGTAGACCTGGGCTGGGAGGCTCACTTCTGAGGGATGTGTAGATCTACCCTAATACTTAAGAGACTGGCTTAAATTCTAAAGCATGAGGTGTAATACCCCTTCCATGTTCCCTGTCCAATCCTTTTTTGTTTCTTATTAAGGCTCACCAACTTCCTGACACACTGACTTCCAGTTTACTTACACATAGTTTTTCACACAATTTCCACCCTTTTTATTTCAATGAATGTCCCCATGTTCTTGTGTTATGAAATGGGGGAATAGAAGGTCCAGATCTCCCTTCTCTAGATCAGTCATTATTTTCTATATTTTTATATCACCTCTTATTTATCTGTATCTTAAGGTAAACAACCCCAACCTCTTCAATCTCTCTTCATAGAGATAATTTGCATTAATTGACAGTGAATTTCATTGGCCACTGTGTCGTCTATTCATCTAGCTTGTTTAGGGCTCTCTAAAGTTCCTCACAGTACTCTCTGGTCCTGCCTACCTAAATAACTTTGTGACAACTGCAAATGTTGCCACCTCATTACTCACCCAATTTCCAGATCATTAATACATAAATTAAACAATATGGAACCTAACATGGAACCTAGAGGCACCTCTCTGATAACCTTTTGCCATGATGAAAATTGCCATTTAACCTTACTCTTTGCTTTCTGTCACCAGGTCAGTTTTTGATCCATGACAATATCTCACCCCATGACTACTCTTTAGTAGCCTAATAGACACTGAGCACTTCAAAACTAACAACATCCACATGAAGGTTAAATTATATCAAATTTCAAGTTTGCTTGTTCCTGGCCTCTATTCTATAGCTGTTATCCCTTTACACACACCAGCACCCATCCCAGAAAAAACGGTTACCTACCTTTCTGTAACTGTTATTCTTCAAGACGAGTTGCACATGTCCATTTCGTTGTAGGTGAGCGAGCACCTCATGCACAGTTGTTGGAGAATTTTTTCCCTTATCACTACCCATCAGGGTGGTCCATGCACCCTCTGTCGCCACACATCACTGAATGCTGATATAAGAGGGCAGAGACATTCCCAGGCCCCCTCAGTTCCTTTGTACTGGATAGACTCCGATAGAGAGGAGGGCGGGTGGGTCGTGGCATAGACACGTGCAACACATCTTCAAGAATAATCGTTACAGAAAAGTCGGTAACTGTTTTTTCTTCTTGGAGTACTTGCACATGTCCATGCCACTGTAGGTGATTCACAAGCAGACAAACGTAGAGGTGGCCTCCGAGTCTATCTGACCTGTGACTGTAAGACAAAACCCATCCAAAATTGGCATAGTCCCTGGAATGACAGGAAATGGCATAATACAAAACAAAGTGTGGACTGATGATCAAGTTGCCACTTCACAAATGTCTATGACAGGTACTTGTGCCAAGAAAGATGCAGATGTTGCCTGCACTCTAGCAGAATGTGTCAATACCCTAGCTGGTGGGGTTATATTAGCCAACTGGTAGCATAAATAAATGCACGAAGAGACCAAGGATGACATCTGCTGAGTAGACATTGGTCTGCCCTTAGCTCTGTCCACAATTGCAATGAACAACTGAGGATTAAAGGTCTTAGTATGCTCCAGATTGAAAGCTAGAGCCCTTCTCACATCCCGCGAATGCAGCCTCTCCGAATCTCTAGGAGCATGATGTTTCGGAAAGAAAGTTGGTAAATAGACTGCCTGGTTAACGTGACAATTAGAGATACCTAAGTGAGAAATTTTGGGTGAGGGAGAAGATAAATCTTATCCCTACGGAAAACTGTAAGGAGGGCCTGTTACTAAGGCTTTCAACTCTTCCACTCGTCTGGCCAAGATAATGGCCACTAGAAATGCTACCTTCATAGACAGGTGCAGCAGAGAGCAGGCTGCAAAGGGTTCAATGGTTGGGCCCATCAATTTTGCTAGGACCAAGTTCAGATCCCAAGGAAGGATGGGATGTTGCATGCGTGGGTACGATCTAACCAAACCCTTTAGGAGTCTGTTGATGGTGGTTTTGGAGAAAAGGGATCTACTATCCACCGAGACATGGAAGGCCAAAATAGCTCTATAAGACTGCATCTGGTAGGCTAATAGACAAACTCTGTTTTAGATATAGAATACAGTCCAGCATGAGGTTTAGGGGAGCCCACCCTCACGATGTGGCTTTCTGATGGGACCAAAACACAGAAATGCTTCCACTTAGCCAGGTAAGTGCTCCGAGTTGAGGGATTTCTGCTATTCCAAAACACTTTCTGAATATCCTTTGAGCAGGATCTCTCAAACGAAGGTCTCAGAAGCTGGGACAGAGAAGATGACTGTGGTCCTGGGAAATGATGTCTGGAGAGACAGCGGAGGCTCGATTGACCTGGCTAGTAGGGTTGAAAACCAGTGTTGATGAGACCATGCTAGTGCTATAAGGAAGACACATGCAGGATCTTATTTGACTTTGAATAAGAACCTGGGTAGCAAAGGAATTGGAGGGAAGGCATACAGGAAGGAATTCTTCCAGGATAGGAGAAAAGCATCTGTTAGTGAGACTGGGCTGAGACTTCCCAGGGCACAAAGCTGATGGCATTTTCTGTTGGTTTTTGTTGCAAACAGGTCCACTTGGGGAGTTCCCCAGAGCTGGGAGATGGATTTGGCCATGTCTGGGCACAAGAGCTAGTTGTGGGGGTTGGAAAAGGACTTGCCCAGCTGATGCGTTAATGTGTTGTTTCCCTGAAAGATAAGCAGCTCTGAGATGAATTGAGTTGTTTATGCAAAAGTCCCAGAGGCAAATCATCTCTTGGCACAGTTGGGTTGATCGTGCCCCTCCCTGCCTATTTATGTAAAACACAGCTGCAGAGAGTTTTCTGTTAGAATTAATAAATTCTTCCCTACTACATGGGGGAGGAAGGCCAAGGAGACTAGAGGGACTGCTCTTAACTCCCTGACATTTATGAGTCTTTAGAACGTAAGACAACCAGAGACCCCAGGTCTGCAGCGACTCCATATGAGCTCTCCAACGCAGGGATGATGCGTTTGTGACTAAAGTGAGGGTTGGTAGCGAGAGGAACAAAGGGGATGCGATGTTACACCCCATATTCTTCATAGAAATATGGTTATGATATGAATATGGCATTACTAAGATATACATGAGCCATCAAGCACAGATGCCACTCCATTTGAAAGATCTTGATGAGCTCTGCGGTCCTCTGGTGGTGGTGAATCACCTGCCAGCTCGATAACCTCATCTGGTGATGAGGAAGAGGCTTTTAAGGAGGTGGCTGGTCTATGTCTTGCCTGAGTGACCTCTGGCTGGTCAGTACTGACCTCAGTGCCAGGAACTGGAGAATTTGGTGCCAATGCCTCCAGAATGCTCTTGAAAACAGTGAATGAGACGGTTGAGGGGAGGTTCTAGCCGGAGGGGGGACACCCCACGGTGTCCAAAATGGCGAGCAGTATGGGCCTGGGACCCGTCCTTGTCCAGACCATTGTCCCTTAGAAGAAGGTCAGTTCTGAGGTTACTGCATGACCTATGGTCCCCATCCTTGACAGGATAGAGATAACCTCACCTCTGAGAGTCCGAAACGTCTGACAATGGAGGGACAGAACCAGCTGGGATGGGAGAGAGATAGCCTGAGCCCAGGGATGGCATTACTAGGGATATCATCAGAGGCTTGCCTCTCAACTGCACTGGCTTTTGCAGAAGCTTGGGAGGTAACGGTACCGCAGGCTCTTGACGCAGTGAGGTAGGAGCTGCAGCATCAATAGCAGCTATAAAACCTTCTTGAACTGCAGGCAATACAGGTACTGAGATGCTAAGCAGGTCCCTTGCAGCTGCATATGCCTCGGAGCGGCACTCTGCAAAGAACTCTGCAAGGAACTTTCCGGGTACAACCTTGATAGACCTGGTACACGTTTTGTAGGTGGCAATCTCCTGTTTCTAGGTGATGAGAGCTCCAAAGAGAGCTTCTTCCCTGAATGTTACGCAGAGTCTCTGCCTTTCCTTGGCTTCAGTACCCACACACTTGATCGAGGTACCAAACTTGAGGAAGGCCTAAGTCTTTTCTTTGGTATCAGCAAACGGGGCAGAGAAGCTACAGATATCTCCGCTGGGGCGCTCCACACTGAAGCTGATGTACCTGGGCCGCTTTCCCCATGTGATGACACTGAAGGAGGGCAAAGCACTACCTCCATAAGTAAGCACTCAAGCCTCGCCACTCTGTCTTTCTGTGAGCAGGACTTGAATCCTTTACAAATGTGACATTTATAACTAATGTGGGATTCCCTCAAACATTTGAAGCAGGCCAGGGGAGGGTTGCTGACTGGCATAGGCTTAGTGCAAGTCCAGCAGGACTTAAACCCCGGCGGGTGAGACATCGTTCCAGTACTAATCCTACTAAAGATCCTGGTAATGCAATTTAAAAAGTGGTCAAAAAAGACCTAAAATGAAAATCTAGCACTAAAAACTAGCTACAACTAACTACACCTCTACCTCGATATAACGCTGTCCTTGGGAGCCAAAAAATCTTACTGCGTTATAGGTGAAACCGCGTTATATCGAACTTGCTTTGATCCACCGGAGTGCGCAGCCCCACCCACCCCGGAGCGCTGCTTTACCGTGTTATATCCGAATTCGTGTTATATCGGGTCGCGTTATATCGGGGTAGAGGTGTAACTTCCACAACTACAACTAAAAAGGAGTGAGGGAAGCACTTGTCACAAGTCTGGAATCGCTCTGACAACCATCACAGGCAGTAAGAAGGAATGGGGTGAGGGAGGAGTCAGGGGCAGCTCTGCCCTCTTATACCAGCATGCAGTGGTGAGCAGCAATAGAGGGGTATTGCCGTGATCACCATGACGGGTGCCTCTGATGGTACCAGTTGACAGTACCTCTCCGTCAACTGCGCACAAGGTACGCACACAACTCCTGGGGTATGGACATGTGCAACACAACTCAAAGAAGTGTTATGAATCAGTATCAAACATCAAGCTTGAAGAGGCAACTCACCACATGTTATGTTCAAAAACTTTAGTAGGATCAGTTAAAATCCGTGACCCAAGTGGAGCAATTGGTCGTCTGTTACTTTGGCACCTCTGCTGCATCTTGCTTTTCCTCAGATATGAAGCAGAAAGCCTTTTAATGACATTCATTTTGATCAGAGACCTGTAAAAACACAATCCATTGAAATTATAGCTTTGCTAGAACTTAATCGTATATGTCACTTAGAAGAGACCTTAGTCAAGTAATCAAGTTGCAATATGGGCTTTACTGATGCAGGTTGTTTTTTAAAATCAATTAAAATGCTTTTTTAAAATGTTAACATCTTTCAAGAGTGCTAGAAACCCAAATAACCCAAAATATGCTACTGCTATATAGAAAGCAGAAAGTAAAACTTGCCAATCTACTTTCAAAGTCCTATTAGGCAGTGACAAAAAGCCACACATAATGGTGAATCAATGCATTGATGTGTTTTGCTTTTCCATTTGAAAAATGTAAAATGTTATTAGTAATCAAGGTAAGGAAATTATTTTTGGATTATTTTGTTTTTACCTTGACACTGTCCCTTTAAAAAAATAATCAAGAAGTGATCAGAGAGCAAACCATTTGTTCTAGTGGAAACATACTGGTATTCTGCTTGACATTTTTCACCCCACTCACTAGGTTACGGTCTTCAAAGGATTTCATTCTAAAGCTGTTACTGTGGTTTCACTCTTTAAAATAGAAAGTGAAAGATTCAGAAATGTATTATATACAGTATGCACATGAAACCTTTCAAAAATTTCTACTGCGTATTGTAGTAATTTGTATTCAATGCCTCATCTGAAGTGAATGTTTTCAGATGTTAATTCTACATCCATGTGAATTATAAAGTGTTTGAGAGTTTTCTGTTAAACATGTAATTCTAACCTGGCACCTCTGTATTTTTTACATTATAGTTACTCAAAAATGTTAACTCTGAATTTGTTCAAACAAGTCTAATGAGCAAAGATGAGAAGTATGCTGTAGTTAGTACCAGCATTCTGTCTTGTTGTGGCTTTTCCCCCCCATGTCCCAGTTGATGCAAGCTCTTTTTTTTAGTAGAGGAGTAAAAATGAAATGCTCCTCCTCCTCCTTTTACCCTGATGTGCTTTTGTTCTTTCCTCCTTCAAGTGCTCTGCATATTACAAAAAAAATGCTACTAAGTCATTATTTTTAGAGTGCTCTCTCTGCATAAAACATGCATATAAATCTAATGCATGTAGCATTGAGAACACAAAATGTAGTTACAAAGAAGCAGGCACTATTTAAATGCAAACATTATTCTGCAAACTGGCTAAAAAATGAAGGTTTTATCTTAAGGAAAAAAAACAGTAATGCACTATATGATTGACCACAAGTCTTGCATTGTGAACAAAAAAGATTCACTAGATGTATGATCTAAATCTTTGTAAAGGAATCAGTTAAATAACGTGAACAATTCCTCAGTTAAGATGCGCTTCTGAATGATTAATAATTTAGAAATGCTATTGTTTATTAATTTGAAGCCTTTAAGAGAGAGAGAAGAACATTAACATTTCCTTGTATTTGTCTGAAGGCTTAAAAACATATTTCTAGGTTTCCAATGTCAAATATAACAGCAACTGGTACATTAGGGCTGCTGTACCTGCTATATAATAGCTTCTTTGCCAGTACACAGGTGCCCCCTTATTGCAACGTGTGATTTCACATGGTGAAGATGTTGCACTTAATCATATAACAAAACTATTTTTTCAATCAAAACCATTTCTAATTTTGATCAATTCACTATGTCTCTTGGCAACATATTTGGGTAACTAAAATGATAATTCCAATTTACAATAAAATCACCACAATAAAATCATTTAGGCTCTGATTCGGCAAAGACTTTTGCATGAAAATTGTAATACTCCCTTCATTGGGATTACTCGTGCATAAAGTTAAGTATGTACATAAGTCTGCAGGATCAGGGCCTTAGCTAATTTATTTTATTTACAATAAAACAACAGATTCACATCCTATCTATCAGCTAAAGCTACAGTACAGCTCTGCAACAGCATGCATATAGACTGCACACAAAAAGTTATTAGAACTGCTTCTGTACAGTTGCTAGGATTAAAAATTAACATACCCACTGCTCCATAATGTAGGATTTATAGTACATGAAATTAATACTATTTTAAAAGATACAAAAAACAAACCAACCCCCCAAATCAAATTGTGATCGCAAATCGTTAACAGATTATATAGATGCTTAGAGGCAAATTATGTTATTACATTACATACTGTTTCAAAATCAGCTCTTCCTTCATTTACCTGCCAAGGCCTGAATCCATGCCCTGAATTTCCTTTGTTATAATTGATGTTCAACATAAAATAAAAATGATTCAGATGCTAGGCATAATTTTGGTTGGCTCTCTCTCACATTAAGAACATGAAAAGATGCACTGATGGGATACACAGACAGGTGGCTAAAATGATTTGGCATGAGTAACAGGTAACATTGGGATTTGTATGAGAATTTGACCTTTGTATGTAGCTGACTAATTGCTGAAACCTGCAATATCCAAAACATTGCAAGGATATAGGGGAAAGGCAAATGAAATATGGAAGCTGGAAGTGATAAGAATGCAGAGGAAAGCCCTGGAACCAGGCTTAGCACTGATGAGCTGACGGAACTACTGATCATGTGATTAATGGGCAGTGTGGCTACTAAGCAAAAAATTTCAAAAAGCACCTAAGTGATTTAGGAACCTAAATCCCATTTTCAAAAGTGCCTCATCGCTTAATTGCTTCTTTACCTGATTTTTTTAATGATCTATTGAAAGAGGTAACCACCTCTCTGCCAGATATCTGCACACTGTGGAGTTTGAACGTGCTGGTTATTTGGTACAGAGCCACAGCCAGGAATAAGCAAAATGACTATACACTTGATTATTATAGCAATAATAATCTGGCCTCCATTTGAAAACCCCTCATCTTCCCAGAAATTACCACCCACGGGATTTACATAAAAAATTACCAACCACTGTAAGCAGAGCCATTTATCCAGCAAGAACACTAGAGGAATAACACACTAGAAAAGGAGTGGAAGTTGTCCTTCCTGTGGAGTGATGTGTTTAAGCTTTTAGAGGTTAGTGGTGAGATGTTCTATTTCTAATTATCATCTCGACAACCACAAACTCTGCCTCTCTGCCTCAGCTGAGCTAATGGAGGAGACTCTTAAAAAGAAAAGAAAAAAAGCTACACACTCAGTGCAGCTTTCTCACGGCGCACACACAGAGAAGCCGTTATGTGTAAACTGCCAGTTGGACTGGAAAGTATTATTTTTTTAAATTGAAGTTGGCATTTGAGCTTCCCAATAGTGGTCTCCACCCTGATGGAACTTGAGATTTGTAAAACAGACAGGATGGGGAAGGGAAGAGCTGATTCCATCCTGCTTTAAATAGCAGAGTCAAGTTTTCTTCTGATTGAAACAAGAGATCAACACCAGGACATACAGTAAACCACTAATCATGGAGGAATAAAGGCCAGAGGAGTATCAGCTCTGAAACAGGGGTCAGATAAAAATCAAGTAAAGGATTCTTCTACCTGAAAATTTGTTTCCAATAAACTATGACAAAAACAATTTGTTGTTTGGTAGCTCTCTGGACTACAAAGCTACTGATTCATTATATCTGCAACTATTGGACCTGCTGTTGTTGTCACAGTTATATTTATAAGGGGACTAATGGGGCTATATTTGTAATAATTTGGGTTACTCTGTTTACCTTCTTAAGAAATAAGATATGCTGAAAAAGTTGAACTTCATACTATTACTCGGCACTTACAAACTTAGTTGTACAAACATTCACAACTCTCCTGTGAAACAGATACTATACTACTGTATTTCATTACCAAAATGCTACTGAGGCTCAAAAGACCTTAGCTATGCAAAACATCTACAAAAGATAAGAGGCGCCAGCGGACATAAGGTGGAAGAATCAGTCCTGGAAAACAGAATACTCTGAGTTGGCGGTGGACAAATTACCTAACATTGCACACTGATGTTTCTAAGGTCCAGACATAACCTGAGAATAGCCTAAACCAAACCAACAAAAATAGTCAAAATGGACTTTTAAAAACCAGTCAGTCTCCATAGCTCAGGCATTGCAGCAAAAAGATATATTAATCTTGCCTTAAGTAGTGTGAGGAGACCGATATTACAGCCCCTCTGGATCTTCTTTGCCATAACAGGGACAACATGACAAAGTCATTAACCTCTTGTGAAAATAAAGCTGCAAAAGAATTCACAGCAACTGATGGGTTAGAAAGCTGGGAAACAGTGCAGAAAATTACATAAAGAAGCTAGAAAATAAAACAGATTATTTGGAAGGAAAGCAAGGGCTTTGCAGCTGGTGTATTATAGTACAGGAATTTGGGAGAGAAAAATGGAAATGCTGGAATACCACACAAGAGGAAACAGATGAGTTCTGGGAATCCTTAAAGGTGAGAAGGGAGTAGAGTCAATGGGATTCAAGGGGAAAGTTATGTCACAAGTGTAAAATGAGGTAAAAGATCTGATACATATTAAGTGCTTTTAAAAAATTCCTCATCAGGCACCATTATTGTAGTACCCTTAGACAAACTGAAAAGGACAGACTTTAATTCTACTCTGTGATTCTACTCCGAAAAGTCACTCTAAATATGGCATTGTGGAGTTCCATATTCATTCTCTCTCAATGGTATGATGATGTGCTCAATTTGTAAGTAAAATGATATTTTTCTAGCTGCCAATCCCGCAAACAACCTGGAATCAGAGATTCAAACGTAGTACTTTCCTTCTCATGCACCATCACGGGCAGTGATGCAGGCCAGCTCAGGCCCACAGTAACTCCTGTGAAACCCCACTGCCTTCCAAGGGTTTGCACAGATTTAACTATGGGAAAACTTAGTCAACAATTCTCATTATATATAAGAAGGAATAGAATCCAAGTCTCTTTCTCAGCACTGCAGGGTCAATACAACTAACTGAAGTTATTTTTGCCACTAAGGTCAGCAGATATGACTCTGAATACACACAAGGAGTAGATCAGTTGAGTTTAAGAAGACACCATTTTTACAATCATCTTTCAGAGTAGAACTGGTCTTTAAAAGTAGCTAGGGAAAGAGGAAATGTTTTGTACAATGGGGAAGAGAGCTTATATTTTCCTGACCGTATCTCCCAAACCAAGCGCTGTAGGAAGGAAATAAGTCATATAAAACAGGCTTTCTGGAAACACAGATTTGCTAAAACCATCAGCTGAACTATAAGGAATACATTCTTTGGGGTAAAAATTCTGCAGCTACTGTCGGCTCCTGAAAAACCAAGACAACACCCAGCACACACTAATGTGGAAGGGGTGGTGAATTAAAAATGTTTAAGATTATGGAATAGCCATACTGAATCTGGGGGGGTGGTTTTTTTTTTTTTTTTTTTTTAATTTTATCCTATTTTGGCATTTTTGGAGATTTGTTCCTCAGTCACTGTTCTCCCTCTGGAGATTCCTGTTAAAATTATTCTGCTAGATAACTCAAGTCTGTGATGAAGTGCAAAGCTATAGGTGAAAAACAGTAAGTTATCAATATTTCTTTGCTAAGAAATAATAGTCATACCTCCACCAAAAAGGGAAATCTATTTTATTTAATAATGTATATGAATTGGAGTGTGAATGGTGTGTTGAATTTTTTTTTTAAGGGAACTGCTCCAAATTTTGCTTTGTAGCACTGAGGGAATCTACTGTGTTTGTTAATACAGTGGTTCTCAAAGCCAGTCCGCTGCTTGTTCAGAGAAAGCCCCTGGCGGGCCGGGCCTGTTTGTTTACCTGCTGCATCCGCAGGTTCGGCCGATCGCGGCTCCCACTGGCTGCAGTTTGCCGCTCCAGGCCAATGGGGGCTGCGGGAAGCGGCGCGGGCTGAGGGATGTGCTGGCCGCAGCTTCCCACCGCCCCTGTTGGCCTGGAGCGGCGAACCACAGCCAGTGGGAGCTATGATTGGCCGAACCTGCAGACGCAGCAGGTAAACAAACCGTCCCGTCCCGCCAGGGGCTTTTCCTGAACAAGGGGCGGACCGACTTTGAGAACCACTGCGTTAATATGTTTTTATAAACATTACAGTTAAAAGAAAAATTTAAATGCAAGTCAAGTTGAGCTAATGCCAAATGCAAGAACAAAGAATGATTGACAGGTAAGGAAGTAGTAAGTACCTTAGACATAAAGATATCATTTATTTAGAGAATCTTTAATTAACTAATACAAATGCAGTGAGAGTGAAACAACTAAAAGAAGCAGTTTTGAAAATGAATTATGCAAGGGAAATTGCGGGATATGGTTGCCAACCAAAAGGAAGGACAGACCAGATAAAAGGCTTCTTGGACTCATTCCATCCAAAACAACTTGTGCCCCTATTTTATCTTTTTACTTGTAATTAGAGCTGGTCAGGAATTCTCCAATGGAACAGTATCCATTGAGAAATGCTGATTTGATTAAATCAAAATGTTTTTTAGGAATGTACTGATTTCCTTGAAAATTTTGTGGGAAATTATCAAAACATTTAGTTACAATAAGGTCAAAATGGTTATTTTTGATAAGGTTCAAACACTTTCTTGCAACTTTATTGTTTCAACTTTTACATTATATTTTGTTTATAATTATAAAGTCAAAACAATAAAATCAAAACAAAACATTCTTAACCATATCAAAATGAAATATCCTGGAATATTTTCTTTTACGAAAAGTTCAGAGATTTCAACTTTTCATTGAGATTTGGGATGAAAAACCATATTTCAAAATTTCAGAATTTCTTGCAGGATGGAAATTCCATTCTTCACCAAGTTCTACATGTAATAGCGTTTGTCTGTGTTAATCACGCCAATTGAAGATTTTTACTCTTAATGTGCACTGAAAGGCACACACAGCAAAACTGGTGCCTGTAATTATTCCTGATGTAGAGATTTTAAATAATGGACATGAGGGAGATATTGGTGACCCTCAGTTCAGAGTTCTTTGTTACCAATGCTTGCTAATTTAAAGGGATAGGCTCACTTTTTTTTTTTAAATGTTTAGGTCCAGATCCTGCAAAGACTTAATTCTACACACGGGTAGTCCCAGTGGTAAGTGTTTGCAGCATCTAGGATTTATACACAGATATGTACTGCCCTCCAAAAGGTTGAAAAGAACCCGTCCCACTTCTTTCCCTATTAGGGTATGCCTACACAGCATTTTGGAGCAAGCCTCCCAGCCTGGGTAGAGAAACTCGGGCTAGTGGGGCTTGTATTAGTGCTCCATTTATGACTCTAAAAATAGCTGTAGAAACAAAGGTTTGCAGTGGCAACTGAAGCTAGAGCTGGGGCTCTGAAGCCTAGGAAATGGGGTGGGCTTCAGAGCCTGACCTCCAGTTTGAGCCACAACTTCAAAGTGCTGTCCATACAGCTATTTTAGAGCACTAACACCAGCCCCACTACCCCGAGTCTGTCATCCTGGTCTGAGAGGCTTGCTCCAAAATGCTGTGTAGACGTAGTTTTCCCCTTTTACATGTGACAACTCACATCCCTTTTTGTTACTTATAAAGCTGAGTCTATCAAGCATCTGACTCACTGACTTCTTTGCCCCCATCAGCATGGAAAGAGAAAGTCATCAATGGACATCATAGCTCTGGGCACAGGGTTTGCTAAATAATTTGTATATCCCCTGCTTGCTGGTGCTGCAACAGCAAAGCAAAGCAAAGTTAAGGTTATGCATGAACAGTGATCTTAAATCAGTGATAGATCTTGAGTAAATGAGTATTAAGAAATTAAATACTTCATCCAAGCTATAAAAATAGTAAAATCTAATGTGAGGACTTTTAAAGTGACAGAATCTGTTTAGAATATTTCTGTTTTGCAAATAAAGGTTTGAACTCTTCACAATGTTCATTTAAATTACTAGAAAGCCAAAAACTACACAGTCACAAAACTGGTCAATATGTTAAACTAGAATTATGCTAATTTTAACTAGTAGTCCAGCTCTTGACTTATAACTTAAATGCTCTTAGACGTTGATTTAACAAAATATGATTAAATCTCTGGATTAAATGTTTTAGTTGTTTAAAAGCTACTTTGTTTTATAAAACAGGCATTATGAAAGGAATAGTTTGTCTGGCAAAGGTTCTAAACATGCAGGTGTCCTAACTAAATGCACAGGCTAGGACACATTAGCTAACCCATGGAGGCAGAGGAAGGGAAACTGTACTTTTCTCTTACTGCTTTTAAAATATCGATTATTTTTTTCAAATGAACTAAAGCAGTCAAAATTTACATTTGTGGGCAAAACTACTTAAAAACATCCCTTTCACATGACATATTCTCTTCAGCTATTTCTTTTAAATGTCCTTTATATTTATTATAGGACCACTTTATGTATTTATTTTGATTTGTTAAAAATGTCTATGCATGTTCTAAGCACCTATAGAAAGCTAAACAAGCATACAACTAAAAAAGATAAATAGCCTTAACACAAAATAAACTTTTGTACTATACCTAAAACTTTAACAAAGCTTAACGGATTAATTCATCACGACCATGAAAATCACAAATTACCTACAATTTATATTTAAGAACTCCACTGTTGGCCATTACAAATCCATCCACCCACCTCTCCAAGAGAGCCCTGAGAGTCTACATGGGCTTTGTCCATGCATAGCATACCCTGAAGGCCAACAAAACCTAGTCCTGCCAGACCAGGAGTGAGTCCCAGAGCTGAGCACCACTCATGGAAAAAACCATCAGGAACCTCCCACCTTAGTTTGAGCAACTGCAACTATCACAGAGATCATGCATTTAGTTCTCTTCATTACAATGAGTAATTAAGCTTGAATTTTTCTAAATAGTCAGAATTTCATGGTTTAGGGATACATCTCTTTTTATAGCACCAGCTAAGGACACTCAGGCTTAAAACTTATGACATCTAAAACTTAGGTCAACTTAGCTATAGCACTCAGGGGTGTGAAAAATTCATAGTTAAACCATCTTAATGCCCAGTGTAGACACTTGTAGGTCAATAGAAGATTTCTTATATCAACCTAGCTACCACCTCTCAGAGGGGTGGATTAACTACAGCGATGGAAAAACCCCTTCCATCACTGTGGCAAGTGTCTACACCACAGATGCTACGGGGGCACACCTGCAGCGCGATAGCTATGCCATTGTAGTATCTGTAGTGTAGACATAGCCTCAGTGTTATTAGCATTAGTCCCTCACTGGCAGGTGTGCACCTGAAACATACTTTCCTCTCACTAGCCTGCACAACATGAATAGTTTGACTCTCCCCTGTTTGGTGCAAGTACACTCTCTGCACTACCACTTGAGTTTCTTCATTCATTCATTCGTTTGTTCGCAGCCATTGCTAGGGCTTGGCCTGAAGGCGACTGCTCCACAGACATGTGTGGCAGCAACTCCATCGACATGTGTGGCAGCAACTCCATCTTCCCTTGGCCCTCAAAATATTTTTACATTTTTAAGATAATTTAATACTTGTTTAAAGTGCCAGTGTATTTGACATCCCTAAAGACTGAAGTCCACTATTTCGCCTCACAGACAGTGGTAGCACAAGCTTCCACACAAGCCCACCAGTGTGCCTCACTCCTGATCTGCAGACCTCTTCAGGCAAGAGTATGATTAACATGGGTATTCAGAGTTCAACTTCTCTGCTGACAATTGCTATCAGTTGTGGAGGTGCGCTTGTGATATCTATCAAGAGATGCAAGAATAAGAAGTCCAACACGTTATAAGTCTCAGGAAACTACTACTGAGATGAAGTGCTTTACATTTCTAAGCCACTTATCCTGAAAACTTCACGTATATCAATAAGTATTTCTAGGATTGGGAACTGAGTCAATACAAATCCAGCCCAGTTCAACAGTGACCAGAATTCATTACCTGGTGATAGCTGTTCAATGGTACAAATACAATGAGTTTGTGAACTCCATTAGTTCCATATCCACACGTACATATTAGACAAATCACCAACAAAACCAAGTCTCCATGAAGATTCAAATTACCCTTCTATCCTTCTGTATTGGTTATACAAAAAATAATTCAGTCTCCATAGTTTTCCGTCCAGCAACTTTCACATCCCCAAATTTATATTTAAAAAAAAAACAAATGACCAATATTATCACTGGCATCTCACTAAAGAGCATGACTGCACAGAATAGCGAGTACAGTTTCAGTGAGTTGCACAGTATAGTTACCCTGCTAATATGGTTGAATATTATTGAAAAGTAACAGTGCAGAGCATAAATAGACTTTTCTTCTTTTCCCCTGCTCAGTTTAAAGATATTTTATTTTCAATGAGGGAAATAAAAACAAAAAAATTGGAAAGAAATTCCCACTTAAATTATCTTGTCTTTCCTAATCATAAATACATGCTATACATTTACTCCCCTTTTTGTTTTTTTTTTAAATAAATGCATGATAAAATGCATTTTTTTTTAATTTGACAACATGTGTGTACTAGTTATATTGTCTTTCGCCAGATGTATGGAACCTCATTATAAGAAAGCAAAAAAATCATTATAATGAAATATTAAGGCCCTAATCTTGCAAAGATTTACCCATATGCTTAATTTTTGTGCACAGAAGTAATATCACTGATTTCACTGAGACTACTCTCCTATAAAGTTAAGCATGTGCATAAGTCTTTGCAGCATCAGGGACTATATGTGTGTACTTAACTTATTCTTATTTACACCAGCACTGTAAATTTTCATGATCTTTATAAATTAAGACATTTTGCTTGTGCTGACTGCGGTTGATTTACTGAAAAGTGCCAATAACATTTTAATTAAAAAAAAAAAACATACCTTCAAACTGTTCTTCTAGTTTACAGAGAAAATCCTTTAAAATAATCGCAGGGCCTTTTTACTAATTTTCTCTCCGGGACTGCCTCTCTGTGTATAGCTAAAGGGACTGTTTAAGAAGTAAGAACAGTAGCACATTGCACAGGGTTCACAACATCAGTTATTTCCCACTCAGGCGCCCCACAACCTTTCTACATAGCAACGTCTAGCCCCCAGGATTGGGTGTGACAACACCTTCCCATCTGGCAACACACTTAAGAGGACCTGCGGGAGCTCTGCTCAGCGCCCCAGTCCTGCTGCTGGGGTAATACTCTCCATGCGGCTGGAAGCATGAATCCGGAAGGACAGGCAGGCCGGCGCCACACGCGGGAGGAGGCGCACAGAGAGGGCAGGGCAATGGATTCGGGGAGTTGTAGTTTTGGCGCGTCATTGGGAAGCGTCTGAAAACTACCCTCCCCGGCGCCGAGCAGCGGCGGGAGGGCGAGGGCGAGGGCGAGGGCGGGGCCGGGGAGAGGCCTGGTCGGTGCTGCTGCTGCTGCTCTTGTCAGCTGCTGCCAGGTGGTTTGCAGCACAGACGCGCTGGGGACTGACGGGGGCAGTAAGTAATGGCTGCTGGAAAGTGGTGTTAGTCTCCTCCCCGCCAATGGCTTGTGGTGCATTCCTCTCAGAGCCGAGCCCCGCCAGGCTCCAGGCGCTGCTGTCAGCCCAGGGCACGGGCCTGCTGCAAACCGACCGCGAACAGATTCATACATATACATAGCAACGGCCCGGGTGAGCTGCCACTGCCAACCGGGAGAGCACCGGGCTCACGGACCCTCTCGGTCGGGCCGCGGTGGAACGGGCCCGCGCCTGGGGCTCGGGGAGGCGGCTGCTGGGCAGGCGGGGCAGGGTCTCCTTGTCTGCATCCAGGCTGGAGTGTAGCGAGGGCTGTGCAGGCCGTTCTTTCCCGGCTTGTGTACCCTCTGCCCGGGGAGGGAGAAGGAAGCATCAGCAAGGGGGCCCATAATACTTGTGGCATTGAAAGATCATCCGGCACATGCATTGTTGTCTCCTTGTATTGAACAGCCCCGCGCTTGCTGCCTGAGTCAGGAATTAGAAGGATTTCGAGCATTTCCCAAGAAATAAAAATGTCTCCAGATTCAGCCGCTTCCTCCTCCTCAGCCACGAGACTCTCCTCCAGTGCTTTTAAAATTCACAATGTCTGCCGCCTTCTAACCAGGAGATCTCACGGATTTTATACAAAAGATGCGGGTGTCGCCCACAGAAAAAACATGGGAATCCTAAGAAAGCTAGTATGTCAGGTAACAGCTTCTAACATTTTCCAGCAGTGACCCAATCCTTGTTTGGAACCTGATTTCTTCATTCCAGATGTTGTGAACTCCAGTCTAGTGCAGGAATTTGGGTAACCTCTGGACCAAACTCTGAACGGGAGAAGTTTGTGAGAGAGCGAACAGCCTGAGTTCTTGATTAAGGATGAGAGAGTTAGCAATACTATTAAATTTACCTCCGAAAAAATCTGGAAAAGATGAAACATCTTTATCATTCAAACCTGAAGAATATCGTCTGGTGGAAAAAATGGCATTACCATTTGTAAATCAAACTTTTATTTTACATTACAACAGTGTTACAGTGTGACTCTTTTACTCAGATTTCTTAATCCTGGGGACTATTATTGTACACAATTATATAATATTAAAATTATGCTAACAATGTAAGGGACATCATCAACTTTAAATTTGACCTCAAAACTCTAAGGGTTTGTCTACATGTGCAGTGGTGCAGGCTGCCCCACTATATTCCCCTGGGGGAATACTGTGTCAAATTTGTCACAATAACACAATATATACTCACACCAGTTTCAATTATTTTGGTAATTTCTTTCAAAAAACCTGTCAGCAAGTAGGTCTGTAACAATACGAACAAAAATTCAGGATTTTTTTTTTTTTTTACAAATAGATTCCTCACTGGGCATATTAATACAGAATTTTGAGTAATTTATTTAAACTACAATACAGATCTATATTTCCTCCACCCCTCAGAAGCAGTGCAAAGGCTTGAGGTAGGCAGGGGTAACGGAGGTGCTGAGGGAGAGGGAAGGCGCCTGGGAGAGAACCTGGAGGGTTGTTGGGTATGAGTGGGAGAAGTATGGAACAGGGTTTTTTGTTAGGGAGTAAGGAAGACTCCCCCATGCAGCCCCTGGCTGACCCCATGTGTCTCTGCAGCCCCTACCCCCTCTCCCTCATGTTGCCCTGCAGCCCCCTAGCCCCCATCCCCATGTGGCCCTGCAGCAGGGGTGCTGGAACATGGAGGGCCATGCCCCCCCCCCCACTTTTTACCAACCATAAGGGCAAGTGACAGGAGAGGAGCAAGCAGGTGGCGGGGTCTTGTGGGAAGAGGCTGTGCGAGGGCAGGTTCTTGGGAAAAGGGGCAGCGTGAGGGTGGGGCTCAGGAAGAAGGAGCAGTGGGGGCTTGCAGGGGGCACGGTTTGGGTGCCTGCGGCCCCCCCCACACTTTTAGGGTGCTTCTGCCGCTCCTGCCCTCCCATTCAGCCTTTGCTCAATGCTGTCACCCCATTAGCCCTTCTGAACACCAGTCTGTGAACCCCCCATATCCCATAACTCTTAACTGGGCTCTGCGGGCAGAGCACTGTGAGGAACGCAGCCAGCTGCTGGCAGTTCTGGCGCACAGTGGCCCCTGGTGGGCAAAAGACAGAATGTATTTCCTGCAGAGGGACATGAATTCTGCATGTGCACAGTAGTGCAGAATTCCCCCAGAAGTAACTGTAGCACTTTAGTGAAGACTCCACTACACCAATAGGAGAGCTTCTCCCGTCGGTATAGTTAATCCACCTCCACAAGAGACAATAGCTATGTCGGCGGGGGAAGCACTCCCATCAACATAGTGCTGTCTATACCAGCAGTTAGGTTGGCATAACTCAGGAATTTTTCATACCCCTGAATGAGTTATACCAGTATAAATTAGTAGTGTAGATCTGGCCTAAGTGCAACAGAATTGTTTCCACAATTAAAAAAATCAATAGTTTTCTGTAAACAAATAAACATGCCTCTGAAGTGGAAACCAAACATTGCAGCACTGGGAAGCTGAAATTGCAGCTGATTATAAACCAGAGGGAAACTGATTTAAATTTTGTTATTGCCCAAGCTGAGAGAAATGTAGAAATAGCACACATAGGGATAACTAAATTAGTATTTAAAAATTACCTTAGTTTTAACAATCTAAGGGGTTAGGCCCCATTCAGGCAGCCAGATGTGTGAAGGGGGATCCCGGCACCCACATAGGGCCCCACTGAAGCTAATAGGGCTTTGTCTGACTATAGCCCACCTACATGCATCTCATAAAGGATTGGGGCTTTAATGAATACAGATACAATTATTTACAACCCCATATCCTGATATCATTAATGCACATGAGTAACTTTATGCATGTGAGTAGTTCAAGTGAACTCATTAACATCTTGCATTCTTTATGCAAGCGTGTAAACTCCCTCCCGTGCCTTCCTCCGAACACCAAGAGTAGGCTGGATCCCAAAACTCCATGAATTCAATGGGATTACTAACATATATATGGGTACTTGTGCATATTTGCAATATCAGAGCCTATCATTTTTAAGTTGAAAAGGTTGCATAAAAATTTTATTACCAATTTTATTTTTAACCTGTGTCAGTTAATGATAAACATTTATTTTCCATGGTGCCCATGAATTGGTAAAGCTTCTCTTTTCATTTTTTTGTCTCTAATTTTCTTGTAAAGGCCCATTCATAAATTTTATTACATTTTCCTCCACCATGTACCCCACTCCAACTTTTCTAGACTTACTTTTCAAATACTTTTGAGTCAAAGCCCTGCTTGCCTTATTTCAATGCCTACTGTATTCACAACTGGATGCATCCAGTGTACAATCATAGAAAGAAGGAAAGCAAAATTTAAAATGGCTAGATAACTCCAGGAGACTTATTTATTTAAAAAGTCCTTTATGTGTTCAACAGACTATGTTCAACTAACATAAGTTACTAAGCAGTAGGGGCAAGTGAAATATTTTCCAAAACCACAGCTTGTCATAAAAGCCTTTTTCTACTCATTGTCTATTTCAGGAAAATACTAAATTCAAGAATGTTTGGACAACTCATTCCACATCTCCTATTGCTTATGAGCGTGGAAGAATTTATTTTGACAATTATCGGTGCTGTGTGAGCAGGTAATTATTTGATTGCTAAAAATTGCCATTATTTTTCATTTTAATACTCAGGCTTTGATCTTAGAAACTCCCACGAGTTGTCCCACTGAGTTGAATGGGATTACTTGTATAAGCGCAGATACCCATATGCCTAATTGTTCGCAGGATTGGACCCTTATTTTATTCTCTAAAAGGGTGTCATAAGGAGGAGGGAGAAAACTTGTTCACCTTAGTCTCTAAGGATAGAACAAGAAGCAATGGGCTTAAACTGCAGCAAGGGAGGTCTAGGTTGGACATTAGGAAAAAGTTCCTAACTGTCAGGGTGGTTAAACACTGGAATAAATTGCCTAGGGAGGTTGTGGAATCTCCATCTCTGGAGATATTTAAGAGTAGGTTAGATAAATGTCTATCAGGGATGGTCTAGACAGTATTTGGTCCTGCCATGCGGGCAGGGGACTGGACTCGATGACCTCTCGAGGTCCCTTCCAGTCCTATGAATCTATGAATCTCTTAAGTGTTAAACAATAGCTGTATTGCATTGCTTTTGGCAAGGTAAGGCCTGATCCTGTGAGGTGCTGCTTATGTTCAACTATCACTGGACTTTAATGGGAGTTGAGGATGTTCAGCACTACACAGAATTCAAATTAAACAGACTGAACACTAGTTTTATTTCGTGTAGTTGTCACTGGGCCTCAGTGGGTCACAGCTGAGGATGCCAAATTCAGGACAAACTGCTGGGAAATAGGGCAGTCTCACCCTAAATTGGTGGTTATTCTATCATTAGATTATACCAAGCCAGTAACAAAGGTAAACTTCTGTCTCGGCACATTGATTAACAAGAAGTCAAAGATGCAGTCTCTTTAGGCATTACAGCCCTTGTCTCACCACGCAGACGCTGGACTCTATGATGAGTGGTTACTAAAAAACAAGTTAATCAAACATAGGGTTCTTTTACCCCCAAGAGATCAGGCACATAGGCAGATCAATGTATAACTGAGATCTTACCCAATAATCACGCTGATGCCAATCCTTTAGTAACTTGAAACTAAAAGTTTAATAATAAAAGAAAGAATAAGAGAGTTGTTAATGGTTAATAGATTAAATAATTGCAAAGTTCTTATATCA